TATGTTACGTTTTTAAAACCTTTTGTAATTGTAGCGAAATTATAAGCATTATTCAAGATTTGTAAATGCAGAAAACTAGTGTCTGGCTACACTTGCCTAGCAATTTGAATTTTGAAAATACAAAATGATACTTAAAATTTATTGTTACCTAAAATCCGTTTTTTCTAAACTTTGATATCGTTTTTCTCCTAGACCAGCAAACAGTTCATTTCGTTAGAAGAATTTTTTTCCCCTCTCCACTCCATCTTTAGTACATTATATTTCACAAGCTGCGAGCCTTTCCAAACATTTATTTCCAATAAATGCAGAACGGTAAATGTCATGCTGTTATAAAATATATTTTTTTTTCTTAACTTAACCTTTAATTACTCTTAGTCAACCTTAAATTCAAGCGTTATGTTAACGTTTCTTTTAATTTTCTTTTAGAGATTAAATAAATTGCTGCTCCCAAAAGTATGCAATTTTTCAAATATATTCGTATATCAATGAAAGTAATTTTAATAATATAGTACATAGCCAGATTGTTATTAAAATCAGTATTTTTACGTGTTAAAGGAATATGTTTCTCATTACAAACAATTAGTTTGACCCAAATTTATTATTTTGTCATTCTCATATCGATTATTTTAAAATTTCAAAGCAAGCATCTAATTCAAATATTTCTTTTCTAAAATATTTTTAATAATCGCATTATTTTTCTAGTTGTCTCCAAGTATAAGAAAAAATTAAAGTTTTGGGTCATTTCTAAAAAAAATTTGTATACTTAATAATAGTCTATTGAGTATTCATACTTAAGCGATTTATTTTACCTATACTTTAGCTTTTTAAAACCCAATTCATTTAAATCCACAGAGTAATAAAGAAAAATCACATTCAATTTCATAATTTTTTCAATGAGATTTTTCATTTCTCTTAAGTAAAATACAAAAAAAGTAGAATAATATAGGGAAAGGGCATAAGGACAAAAAATGGTGTCAAACTGTTCGGCTGTTTGAAAAAAATGAGACAAAAAGAAAGAAAAACTGAAAAAGACCAACTTTCAGTTTTTTTTCATTTTCTTTTTCTTCTTCTTATTTTTCATTTTTATTTACACGCTTTTAAGTGGATTAGATTAAAAACTTTTCCCTTTATCAATAATAATATAGTGGGTAAATAAAAAGAAACCTCGAAAACAAATTTTCTTCATCTCAATTAAGTCTCAAATGATTCCTATAAAATTCCCCCTTCATATTTTTAGCCAATTGAATTGGAACTTTTTCTTCATACATAAAAAATATCAAAAAATAAAAAAAAAAAACGAAAATGAAAAATATTTGATTTCTTTTTTTTCCCACAATTTTTATAAAGACAAAGTTTTTCTTTCTTTTTTTTTTGTATGAATAAGAATTTCTGTGTAATGGAAAGAACACCATTCCTGTATGGTATCACATATATTACGATATACTTACATACATATTCGATATGACTAAATATATATACACATAATTGTGTATATGTAAAAGAAATCTCTAAACTTTTAAGTGACAAGAAAAACATACTTTGAATCAATAAAATATGGCTTATGTACAATGATGTTAAAACTCCTAAAATCATTAAAATTTATCCATTTGTAATCATTAAAACTTTAAGTTGCATTAAATTCTATTTATCTTATTACGATTGTAATACTTCTATTTTGAATTGTAATACTTTTTCCCGCATTGTCTTGTCTTAAAGAATAAAATGTTAAAACCAGAAACTTCTTTTTACGCTTGCAAGTTATATTTTGGGTCGAACTCATCTTTGATAACTACCACACAAATTGCTATGCTTTGATAATTGCAGATTTACAAATAAGTAGGTGAAAAGTCGAATTATTTAGTAAATTCTGTATAGAAAAAAAATTTTAATCCGGGTAACATTTAACAATCCGGGTAACATGCGAGGTAATTGCGAATATTCCCAAATTTATGCAATGTAAAATCTTATATAAAATAAATTAAAGCTATTTTAAGTTTGCTTTTCAAAATTACAATATTTTACTTGACCAAAGAATTAATGTGTTAGAATTAATTAAAAATTATGAATATTTTTTTAAAGATCAGTATAAATTATGAAAAATATAGATTGAAATTTAATTAAAATTATTAATTGTTAATATTAAGAGTTTGATATTATTATGGGTGGTTTTGATAATGCCGTAATTCTTTCACATTTCTAACTTAGAACTTAAATAACTAAAACAATAGAAAGACGTAAGAGCAAAAACTGCAAATTCGACATTAGCATAAAAATCCCTGTTATATTACTGTTTTTTTAAGTACAAAATAGTTTTCTGCAGCTGTAAAATCAAAATTATGAGTTATTGCGCGTATATCTTGAGAATCTTAAAATGTAGTTTTAAAACAAACTGTAAAAATAGTACCACATTATCAAACACATTCCTTGGACAGCAGGTGTAGTACTATATTGTCAAAATATAGGACATATCCAGTGCCAAATTATGATTGAATTATCAAAAACACTACATGCTTAAATTTGTAAGTTCTTGGTAATAATTTCACATTATTTCAATATATTGTTTAATATTTTTCTGTTTCTAATTATCACATTAATTGAACTACACTATCATTTTTCAAAAAAATTCTCTAATTTCTATGGTGTTTCATTCTCCATAATCCACCAAGTTAATAATTTAATAAAATTTTCACTAGAATTTTTAATCTTCTATTATTTTCTTCCTATAGTATACATGTGTCACTCATATCAAATGGTAATAAATATTTGTTTAAATATTTTGTTTTATTATTAAAGCAAACTAACTAACTATAACTAACAAAAACATTGTTCAAAAAACAACAAAAACTAAAAAAAAATGTACACAAACAACAATAACAAAAAAAAAACTTTATCCTTACAACCTGTGTACTCATAAAATAAATTGTTTAATACTATAAAAAGTTTATGTTGTTGCTGTGATTGTCGTCTTCATATTATTACATGAAGAATATATTATAATAAAATAGTTCTAGGAGATGTAAAATAAGATGACAATTCAAAAAAACAAAAAAAAATCAACAAGAACGAAAAAGTTTTTGTATAACAGAAAAAAAAAGTTTTCCTTCGAAAAATACGTTTCGAGTATGTTTTATTTTTATATTAAATAAAGTGAAAATAAAACGGAATAATGGAGATATAAAAAATGTATGTAAATAAAAGTAATAAAAATTTGAATAACTTTTTGTTTTTATTCACTTTTTTTCTTATTTGTTTTTATAAATCTTAATTTGCGAAACGAGACCACATAAAATAAAATAATCCATATAATTTTTATAATCTTTAAAATATAAATTAGCGTGAGAAATTTTATAGAATTCCATACCCTTTTTGGTATAAAAGGGATCAGTAAATTGTGAAGTTTCATTCGTCTAACATAAGGTTTTGAAATTAAATAAGTTTATTAATTGTTTATGGCATTTTTCGAGCTCATCATTTAAATCGAGCTCATTATTTAAATTATAACAAAGAGTTCAGTTCGAGGAAGAAAAATTTTTTAATAAATTTTATTTTTCTGCCTTGACTCGGTCCTTTGATTCCTTCATCTAACTGTTCTGCAGTTGTATGAAGAAATTTCCATCAGTTATTCTTACATGGAGCACATTCATAATATCTTTGAAGGAGCATATTTTTAAATCTCATAAAAAATAAATTTTTAAATTGGGGAATCTTTTTCTTGAAAGACTATGATAAAAGTTTTCCCCTGCTTCTGTAATGCTCTTTCATCATGCGAATGTATTCCTATAAATTTCTATAAGCCTTGATTTAATTCCACAAATATAAAGAGACTTTTATTGTAAGTCGTTCAAGAGGCTTTTAAATATTGTATTTGCAATAGCAGAAGCTTGTACATGAAGAACTTTCATAACATTATTTTAAAGTGATTTACATTTTAGCTATAAAGGTTACAATACCAATCAGAAAACAACAAGTTTTTTAAAAAGAGTTACAACTTATTAAAAAAATGGGTTTGTATTTATACTTACAATAATAAGCATACTGTAATATTTTACAATGTATATTGCAAAGTGACATAACGAGTATTGCACCCAGTTTGTGGAGTGTCTTCTATTTCAATTATAAATACACCAAAAATGTTATTTATTTCCCGATTGTGTGCCAACTTCCAATATAAATTATCATTTTTCTGGTAAGTAAAAAAAGAAAAATCTAATATTTTGTCTTTCATTTTACTATCGCATCTTATTTCTAATAAAATGAAAAATTTTTTTGCTCTCCTGAAAAACTATCTTTTTGAGATACAATAGTTGTGTCCTTGTTAAAATAATTTTCAAAACTTCCCATTGATATCGGTAAATCATACTGTAAAAAAATATCGGTATATTTGGAATCATACATAGATAAATATGCCTACAGTAATACCCATAGTTTAAAAATTCGATTTAGAAATCTGTTTTTAAACTGACCCTAAAGTTTCTTCTAATGCCATAGCTGAACTAAGTTTAAAAAATGAGTAATTACAACCTACTTCTTTTAAAAACATAAATTTAATTATCAATCATTCTCCAATTTTTTTCGTTAACAGCAATTAAATTTTCATATAAATGAAAATTACGTAAACCTTATAACTTTGCTGTTGAAATATTCTTTTCTAATCATAAAAGACCTTTTCAAAAATACATCGCGAAATATTACATCTACTTAACAGTAAAAGCTATCCTATATTTTGTTGACAAACCAAATGTTGCAAGATAAGTGCACCCACGAAAACAATGCTAAAAGAATTATCATTACAATATAACAAAATTATTTGTAAGTAGCACAGTTGAATTTTATGAACATATTGCATTTATGAAAATCTCTGGAATTATAAACTCAAATATATTAAAATTACTTTAAATTTGAAAAAAAAGGTTACCTTATTCAATTTGTCAATATTATGTAATGTTATTTTTTTAACAACATCATTCCAAAAATATTTTTAATTAAAAACCAAATTTGTTCTAAAATCTACATTATGACTTTATTTACTATTTTAATAGAAAATTTTCTTTCGAAAGTAATGAACAAATTTAAAAATATAATTATTTAAAAAAAAATAATAAATTGTCGTAATTTTTGCTTGCATTTTAATTAAAAATTGTACTGCATTTTCTTTTTTTAAATTTTCGATAATTTTCATGGCATTTTCTCATCAGTAGTCATCGAATTTTGTCATTTTCTCCACAAAATAATGAACACTTTCCAAAAGTTACATTGAAAAAAATAATATTGTGAGAGGTGCGGAATAAAAAGCCTAAAATAAAAAAAAAGTTAATAAACAAAGTGTTATGTTGGTAGTACTGTAATGTGTAATTGAATTGATAAAGTTAATAACAGAATGTTATGAATCACAAAATTTAATTCTTTTAAATTAGCCTTAATAAAACCTACATATATATAAATATATTAATTAATTAATTCAAAAAAACTATATGTTACAAAATTTTATTAATTTTTTTTTTAAATTTCACATTTCAAACGAATATGTAACAAAAATCACTTTTCACGTGGCCATTTTGTTTTTTGTGTAATTATTGATTTCAATTATAACCCACTGTTATCAATTTATTTAAGTATTTGTGAACACAACATAATTCTGCTATTACTCATCAAAATTATAGGTATTTAATTAAAAAAAAAAAGCAGCATAACTCACCTTAATTCTATAATTTTGTGTTTTCTTTAATTTTTCGAATGATTAATATTATATGATATTAAATTTGAAGCTTTTGTAAAAAAGAAGAAATAATTAAATGGACTTAATACGAAGAATAATGCTAGATGTTTTATATTATTATTTTTTTTTTAACGTCTATAATTACTAGCTTCTTCTTCTTCTTTTTTGACCATTTCAATTAGTAATAAACTTAATACACTTTGTATTACAGCTAAAAATGCTACACACATTGCTAAGCCAACAATCCAAACAGATTTATCTTCTAAAAACCATGTTAATTCATCTACACAACCATGTTGAAAAGCATTTCCAGTTACTGTGTCACGACATTCCATTGGTAATGGTTGTTGTAATTGTCGATAATCTCGAGGACCATCAGCACCACAACATCCAACATTTTCCTGTATCATTCTTAATGTATCACCAGCTGGTTTATATCTTGAATTCATTATTAAAGATCTCATTGTATCACGAATCAATGGTTGTATACTCGAATTAACAGTACTAAATTCTAATAGAACTGCTGAACCAACAGTTACTAAAAGGAATGTAACAACTTGTGATACAATAAATAACATAAGAGCAAATCCACTTTCCATTAGAGCACTAACACAACCCAAAAATGAAATTGCCATTATAATTATAGCTGTGGCCAATAATAAATAGATTCCAATATAATATTCTGAAATTTTTAATATATTAACCCATTCGTCGAAACCCGAACCAGCACGTATCCATATTGTAAGACCAAATATTACAGCACCAATTATCCATGATAAAACATTAAAACAGAATAGCGTATATTTGACACACCCTATATTATGAGTCCATTTATCCTCATTTGGGTATCTTTGATCTCGATAATCCATTTTTGTTTTTAATTCGTTTCAAAATTTTTGTATTTCTTATAATTTGGTATTTTTTAATATAGTAAATTTATTAAAATTAATAATTAAAACTTTTAATTAAAATTTTTATTTAAAGTTATGTTTGAAGCTACTATAAGTTTTAAATACAGAAATACATCTGAACAAAATTATTTTTGTTGAAAAAAGACTTATTAAATTTCGATAAATATGAAAGAGATAAGATAGCAGGTAAAAGAAACGAGCATTCTTATCTTATCGAGTTGTTTGCCATTTGATTTAAGCGCTGAAAGAGAAATATGGAGGAGAATATAAGAAACAAACCAAGAGAACAGGTACAATCGCGACAAGTGCAATTATTTTGTAGAATAAAAATTAATAAAATAAAATTTATTTTATAGTAATGGTTAGATAAGATAAGGTGTAATTGTTACGCAGTTATGATTGTTGTTGTATCGAAGTGACTCAATTTATTTGTTTAGGGTTTGGAAGCTTACTGTTTAAACAAAAACAATGAGGTATTATGTATTGAGATTGTATAGAGATATAAGCATGATAGAAATATACATACATATTATGTAGGCATAAAAATTACCTATTATAAACAATATGTCAGCAATATAATATAACAGGGGGGACTTGGTTGTGTATTTGTTATAGTAATACAGAAAAAGAATAAAATTTTGTAATACGTAAAATTTAGCATTTTTATTACAGAAAAAAATAATTTTACTTGTTTATAAAATCTGTTATGTGATTTTTACCGTTATGTGCAATACGATTTACATCCAACAAATACGCGTATTTTATAGGCAGTATAATATGTATATATTAGCTGTCTTTTTCTCACATGTAGTTTTGATGAAAAAAAAGATAACAATAAGAGATAGCAGCCAATATCATTCATTTAAATTTTTATGTTTTTGTTGCATTGAAAATTATTTTCTGTAAAAACAAAGCTTTTTCTTGTGAAAGCATTCAGTACAATATTTCTTGTAACGCATTGTTCCGTCGTGGGTTAAAATTAGTTAAATGAAATGCAACAAATTATTTTAGCATATTAGATACATAATTTTTAGGCAAAAGCTTTTCTTGTTGAAATGAAAGCGATATGCGGGACTTTAGAGAATTGTTAGCTATCCGATAATATACGTAGTTAATACGGTTAATTCGAATAAATTTCGAATTTCTAACGAAAAGAAATTAAATGAATAAAACTTTAATCAATAAAAATATTAAATTTCAATATTGCAAATTGTTTTTTGCTTAGTGACTTACACAGCCTGTTTCGATGTCTGTAACATAAATATTTAAGCTGACCCTTAATGTTACGGTAATTAAAATATCTTAGCCTGTATTTTTCATATTCTTCTCATTAAAAAAAAATAGTAACTACAGGCGAATTTTTTAATTTCATGAAATATCAAAGTCACATATGGATTCCCATAATGCAAATGTCAGTCATCTATGTCAATAATATAGTCTTGTATATTTCACCTATATTTATGATATCAATGGTAGTCTATAAATAAAAATTCATTCATTTAACCTAAATAATACAAAACTCAACATTAAGTACTTAAAAATTAATTAATTATAAACCAGATGAGATCTACTCTGAAAGCTCTTCAAATTATCGTTTTTGAGCTTTAACATAAATAAACTCAAAAAAGAGAAAGAAAACAAAATATTTAAATATCTGGTCACATACATACTTATATAAACAAATTAATTTCACATTTTCTTTTGTTTGCACAGTTTTCAATCGACCCCACAAAAATTATGAATCGATTACAATAAAGCTATCGTTTACTCAATTGTTTTACGATATACTCACCGAAAAATTCATTTATTGTTTTTAGATTAGAAAATTTCTATTGTTCTTCTTTAAAATACTTATCAATATTATTTGGCGTTATTATTTATAGTCGCTCTTATCGTAATCTAAAATTTATTAACAAAAATTCAAATTTCTCAAAAATTTAATAAAATAGGCACCAAAAATGCTGTTTTATTTCAGTTTTAGAAAGTTTTTACTTTAGTTCAGTTAGTAATTTTGTGTGGAGATCATATATAAAAACGATCATGACTGGTGCTGTATATCAAATGGGTTCCGGAACATTAGCAGTTCCCATGAAACTGTTTAAAGATAATAGAAATCGTGTTGTAGAGAAATTTAAAAATATTAACTCACTAGATAATTTTGCATACATATTTTTGCGTGGTGGCACTAATACTAGTTTTAATGATACTGATCAAAAATATATATTTCGTCAAGAATCATATTTTCAGTATATGTTTGGTGTTAAAGAACCAGAGTGTTATGGAGCAATTAATGCCAAAACTGGTCGATCAACATTATTCGTTCCAAGATTACCAGCTGAATATGCTGTTTGGCAAGGACGAATTTATACATTAGATGATTTTAAAAAACATTATGAAGTTGATGAAGTCTATTATACTGATAATATGGAAAAATTCTTTCATTCCATGAATACTTCACTTATTTTAACATTATTTGGAACAAATTCTGATTCTGGTTTACAAAGTGAACCAGCTTCATTCCCGGGAATCGAAAAATTCAAAGTAAATTCGGAAATGTTATATCCAATAATTGCTGAATGTCGAGTATTGAAATCTCCAGATGAATTGGAAGTTTTAAGATATGTAGCAAAAGTTTCATGTGATGCTCATAAACGTATAATGAAAATGATTAGAGCTGGTATGATGGAATATGAAGCTGAAAGTGAATTTTTGCATTATTGTTATAAATATGGTGGATGCAGACATCCATCATATGTATGTATATGTCCTTCTGGCGCTAATTCAGCAACTTTACATTATGGACATGCTAATGCACCAAACAATCGTAGAATTGAAGATGGCGATATGTGTTTATTTGATATGGGAGCGAATTATGCTGGTTATTCATCTGATATAACATGTAGTTTTCCGGTAAATGGAAAATTTACTGAAAAACAAAAATTTATATATAATGCTGTGTTAGATGCTAGAAATGCAGTTATGTCAACTGCCCGTGATGGTATTTCATGGGTTGATATGCACCGATTAGCATGTAAAACTATTTTGCAACGTCTTAAGGAAGGTGGGGTATTAAAAGGTGATGTTGATGAAATGATGAAAAGTGGATTACATGCCATTTTTATGCCACATGGATTAGGTCATTTGATTGGTGTTGATGTACATGATGTTGGTGGATATTTAGCTGGACAACCGGAACGGCCTGTTGAACCTGGTTTCGATAAATTAAGATTTGCCAGAATTCTTAAAGCGGGAATGTATATAACAATTGAACCAGGCTGTTATTTTATTGAAATTCTAATGAATAAAGCAATTGAAGATAAAAATTTAAATAAATTTATTAATGTTGAAAAATTTGAAGAATTCCGTAATTTTGGAGGTGTTCGTCTTGAAGATGATGTTTTAGTACGCGAAAATGATGTTGAGAACTTTTCCATTGTTCCAAGAACCGTTGAAGAAATAGAAGAGTTCATGGCACGTTAAACGCTACATAAACATGTGAAAAAATACAAATATACCTACATTTTTTATTCGGATCCTTTTTACAATATTACTATAAAAATTATAAGAAAAACATACAACTATTTTATAATTGCTGGATGTTTTATTTGAAGTTTATTAAAATTTTATTAAATTTTGAGAACAAAAACTTATCAATGTCTTTGTATATAAAAATCTTTTACGAATTTTGTAAAAGTAACTTTCTCTTTTGTAATTTATAAATATTTTATTAAAATTTTAAATTACTTATTGTATCAGACGGTAACGATCCTTTTAATTGTTTCGTACTAATTAAAAAAAAAAGTGAATTCATATTTTTAAAACAATTACGTTTCCTTCAAATTGTTCTCTTTTAAATTTCACTTTCAAAGTAAGATGAATAATGGTATATTCATAACATAAATGTACATGTAATCTGCATACATACATATGAGATAGCAAATGTTAATAAATTATAACTGGCATTTTCTTTTCCCTTTTGAACGAGGTCAAGTGTGATACTGACATTTTAAATTAAAAATGAACGAAATAATTATATAAAAAGTGAAAAAAGAGTAGTTCATCATTATATTATTAACATCAAAGTATGTATACATTGCAAACTTAGGTGAGTATGGACAAAATCAAGAAAAAAAATACAAGACAAAATAAAATTCCATTACATTTTATATTTACCCTTATATATAGGTAGGTACATAAAAATTTTGTAAGCATATGCAAGTTTAATTTGGAAAATGCACAAGGTATAGGTGTAATAATATGCTCGAGTTGTTGTATAAAATATTTAACATTTTCATCTTATAATAACAACAAAATATTTTTAAAAAATATTTTATACTTAATCTATACCGAATTATATAATGTATTCAGGATATTCTCTACACTAGTGCATAGATATATGTATATTGTATATGAATACACTTTATAGCACACTTTAATGGGGAGTTTTTTAGGTGACGCAACATAGCAGCTATTCGAAATTTTTTGATATTCGGAAGGACTGTTTTGTAGCCGTTTTTTTTGACAATATCACTTTTTGATGTAACTGTTAAGATTTGGGAAAAAAATGAGAATGATTTATAATTTTTTCTACCAATTCGTCGTTATAAAAGAGACAAGTGTTCTTCTCACATTCTAACATTATTCTTACATTATTGTACCATATTTCACATTATTTACCATTACATTATTATAACAACAATTAAAAATTTTTAGTTTTAAAAAACCCAACCGACTAAACTTAGATGGGGGTCTGATTCACATAACGGTTTGTGTAATAATTGTACTCGTAATACCATGGCATACACATGCATATTGTAGTATTATCTTGTTACTTGAGAACTGAACTTACTTGAAAAACGTTTAATTTTATTTATTTTTTTAATTTTTTATTAAAATGATAGAAGTTTTTAATTGTTTTTTTGTTTTCCAAATACATTTTTTCATAGCAAATATTTTTAAAATTTATTGCCTATATTTAGGCGAACTGTTATTTTACTTTATTTTTTTAAAGAAAGTAGTTTATTGAAAAGTCACTCAATCATTGAGTGATTGATTTGAGCAATGTAAGATTTTAGGCATCATTTTAATGATTGGTAATGTTTACTCAACGTACGAAAGGTTAAGAAGGAGTTTATTAGGAATGCCTTAAATTTGGAATGTTTCCTTTGAATAATTTTTATCATAATTGAATTTTAATACTTACTTTTCATCACTTCTAATTTCCGATATGAAATACGTTAAGTTTAATATTGTTATTAAACTTAAACAAAAAAAATTTTCAGACTCATTTTCATTTAAACTTGTTAAGTATATTTAGTTATTGTGCAAATAAATTTAAAAGTTAATATTTGAATGATTTGTGGTTAAATTCTACTTTATTTTCTTTTTCTTTATTCTTAATATGTGCCATATGAGTTGACTGCAAAAAAGTTTTCTATATTACATAATTAAACGTTATGGTTTGTCTGTTAAAATCTTATTTCTTTAATGAGAGAATTATCATGATTTCAATATTAATGTGGAGGAAATTAATTTCTAAAATTACAAAATTAAAATAAAAATTTCGAATTTAAAAGCTCTATTTCAAAATTTTCTTCTCATTTCATAAATTTTCCATAAATTTTTCAAAATTTTATTTTGATAAAAATTCTAAAAATGAAATGAAAAATTAAATAATATTTCTTGTATTCTTGTATGCATGGTTGTATTGTACATTTCAGTGCCATAATAGTATTTTACTTTTTATATGCATAAAAATGTCATAGATGAGATATTTTTAAAAATTTTGATTAAAACAATATCCTGATGAAGTTTCTTCATTTTATCCTAGATTATTCAAATACTCTGAACTCATAGTTTTATAAAATATTAATTATGTATCTTTGTACATTGTGCACCTATATTATGCATGTATGTATGAGGGTACAGGAGATTTAAACTTGTATGATTAAAAATATCAAAATAGAAATACATGAGAAGTTGTTATACATTCATATTGTATGTACGTATATGAATAATAATATAATATAATAAATAAAATTTTAAAGGATTATGATTTATTTAGATAAATGCATAAAAATATTCCTGCGCCATCCGTAGAGCTTGAAAAGATATTTTTATTCTTTCAATCTTGCTACTTTTTTTTATACAAAAATAAATCTTTATATTCAGAGTATTTATATATATAAATACATGTATGTGTATAGGTGTTTCAGTTGAAAATAAAAAAAAATTGTTTCAGTTAAAAATATTATACAATGTTATAATAAATTTAGTGATGTAAAAGAGAAAAGAAAGAATTTTTTGTTTCAATTTTATTTGTTTTCATTTATTTAAGAAAGTGTTCTATTTCTAGAGGTGACGACCCTTTCTAATTTACATTTTCTTTATTTGTTTATAACATTTTTATATTCTTGTTTTTCTTTTCAGTTTAGAAGTGTCTTTAGGTGTTCCAAAAAAGTATATATACATAAGTATATACAAAATGTATGTATTTTGTATCAAGTTTATAAAATTTTTTAAACAAAGTTTGTAAAAATTGACAAAAACGCCTTAGGGCTTAAAATCTTAGGATCTTAGAATCAAAAATATGAGCATATGTTGTAGAATATTATGTATTTCTTCATTGTATATAAGTGATTTGAGCATCTTATACAAGAAAATTTGAAATTTATGTGTACATTTTTGTCTACACTCCTGATTTAACAAAAAAATTAATATTTCTTTTCATATATTACGAAAATTATCTTAAATTTTATGAATTGTCACGATATTTAGTTATAAAAATGTAATTTACCCAAATTATATGTCTACATTTTTCTAAAATAAAATTAAAAAAAATTAAATTTCGTTTTTATATACTATATGTACATAATAAGAGTTTTATTTCGCATAAATATCCTTTTATGGATTTTATTTATTCATTTATGATACACATATACTTATCATGTCCTTATTTTGCGCTATATTACCGATCGCATTGTATACAATAAGGGAGGATATGTGATGGCAACAAAATTTTGCATATCTTGGAAGCGCACTTCTCTATGGTAGGGAAGTGTAAATTATTTTTTCTTAAAGAGATGACAGACAGTCTGCGAATTGAATTGGTGAAATTTTATATGTAAGTTTTTTTGGCTATGTCAATTAATCATCTTTTGGGATATACGAGTATCAGGACTTGGGAACTAAAAATTTAGTATTTGAGTTCTGGTTGTTACTGAAACCAATTGGTGAGCTTTTCATGGAATTCGGATGGCACAAACAAAACGCCACTAAGAGATACATTTACGTTGTTCTAGATTTTTTTAACTAGAAATATACTAACGGCTCTTAAAATTAGAAAGAAGTATTTAAAACTCATTTTCATATAGTATGCAAAACTTTCGATTAACCAGATAATGCACATTGCGGTCGGTTATGTGCTGTTTACATCAAATTTTTTTGTATGTCGTATGTGCTTACATGTATAGGTTTTCTTTTATTTTTTTTTCTCCAACACTTTATTTGTTCCATTTTCAATAGACATGCACAAGCATAAATAAATCTACTTTAAATAAAACAACCTAGTCTGGTAACGCATAATATTTTTTTTTCTCTTCTTTAAATTCTTGAATGCATTCTAAATAAATATCTTATTATTATTCAGATTTTTATATCTTGTTATATGTAGTTGGACTGATTATTCTATTAGTTAAGTTTTTCTAAATACAAACTCCATTTCTTTGTATGTAATAATATGAACGTACACCATTTGTACGTATTCTTAGAATAATTGTATAACTTTAAAGTAAATTTAAAAGAGAAGTTTTTTTTATAGCTTTGTCTTTAATTTGTTATTGCAAGTATCTTTATTTGAAATTATGAATTTTTAATGATGGTTGAGAAAACAAAAGCAATTTCGAATACCTACACTATATACCTACATATAGATGATTTATAAAAACGAAAAGTAAAATTATGATAATTGTAATGAAAATATAAAAGAAATAAAAAAAACAGAAGAGTAAAAGAGTACAGTAAAATAAAATTAAAGGCAGGTGTAGTTAAAATGTGTGGTCATATTGAATGTACAAAAATGTATGTGTTCATAATCTTATTTGTATGTGAGTATCTACATAAGACTAAAAAAATGTAACATTGTTGATCAAATAAGATAAGTATTAAAAAAAAATGAAAATAAAAATAATTATTGGGGTCAAGTATCTCTATATATCTTAAGTTTTTATATAAAATGAAATATGACACTAAATTGTAGCACGATACGAGTACACAAACTTTCACATTTATTTTTAAATATAATTTTATAGATATAATATAGAGATTTAGTTTATGAACTCTACGAGTATAATATAATTGTAATTAAAGAAAGAACGAAAGAAATAAAAAACTTATAAGGATCAAAAGTATAAATTTAATGAGTAAACTAAAATTCTGACATAATTAGAATTAAACATGGAAAATTACAATTTTATGTATAAGAATTTTATTATCATTTTACTTAACATTAAAATTTAAATTCGAAATTTTTTTAAATACATACATAAATATAATTTATAATATATGCGTTAATAACTAATATGATTTTTAAAAAAGTTTAGGTGAACAATCAATTGTTATAAGATTTCAAACAATAAAATTGTGCTTATCATTCCGGTATTTACTTTACAGGTCTGGAGTTTGTCAACTCATAAAATGCTACCTAAATCTGATGCTTGATTTATTGTATAGCTCAACGAATAGCAATTAATATATTTTAATAATTTGATTGGACCGTTATTATACCGAATTTCGGAATTATACCGAATTTTAGAACTTTCAAATGAAATTCATTATGTTATAATTAATCTGCAACTTACATAATGTGAAAAAAATATTTAGAATTAATTATGTTGTTTGTTCTCGCTGGTTTTCTTTTGAAATGTTTGATTACTTTCTAATTCTATAATTTAAAATTTTGAATACACTGAATATATGTATAAGGTTGAGAATTTTTAATTGAGTGCCGTCAAATAAAATTAAAATTTTTTGGGCACATATTTTCCTAAAACTTGAAAGACTTTTCATAAAACATGTAAGCTTTACAACTAAAGGCTCAGGCAGACATGCTAATTTTTAGTTTGGCAATTGCAGTTTTGATTTTAAAGTCGTTTAAGCAGTTAAATTATTGCGTCTATTCAAATCGATTGCGTTATTTAGCAATTGCAATTCGTTTGTAAAAAATTACAAACTGTTTGATTGCTTATGCATTCATGATGCGATCATACAGGTGTATGTGGGTGCGCTTGAATATAAACCTATCGAATAAAAATAAGCAAACAAACAGTTGCAAAACTAAAAATTGCATGTCTGCCTGAATCTTTATATAGTGTATGAATATATTACTTTGTTCATTAGAAATGTATACGCCTACATACATATATAAAATTATTTCGTTTAAATATTAAATTAATTAATATTTTTACAACTAAATCAATTTGAACTAAACTTAAGAATTATAATGAATATGTACTAAATAAAAATTATAAACTAAAATAATAAAACTTATAATCAATATAAAAATAAATTTTTTTTTTATAATAAAAACTCATACCTGGTATTGGTCCACAAACACGAGGAATAATTTCTAATATGGCCGAACATGATGGATCTTCAAAACATAATTGTCTTGCTAAAATACAATTTAATATTGCAATGGCAGCCTTAATATTAGACCCTGAAAATAGAAAACAAAAAAAATCATAAAATTAAAAATAAGAATATTAAGTATACACTTGAGAAATATGTGAATTTTATTTATTCAATTGCATAATAAAATAAAAAATTCCAATATAAATTCAGTTTATTTAATAATATAATAATAAAATAATGCAATATTTACAATAATTTGAAATGAAATTCATTACACAATAAAAATGTTATATACAAAAAAAACTTCATAAAAATGAAAGGATTTTCTTGATTTGATTGTAGTTGTTAAGTGTTGTGTGTCATGCTCGCAAATATTTTTTCTCTCACATAAATTTTCTTTTCTTTTATATTCTCAATTATTATTAATATAGTCAAAGTTATTGTGATGCAACATTTTATTAAATAAATTTATTTTTAGGTAAGTAATAATCGTAAATACTAAACAAGAAAAAAAGTAAAATATGCAAGAAGAGCACAAAATAAATAAAAAAAAATTATTAACAAAATTAAATTTTATGCCTTTTATTGCGTCTAGACTTAAAATGGTTGCTAAAGTTAATTTTTCTATAACTTCTACGTACCAATTTTTTTTTAACTTAAATCATTTAACAGGTTTTTGGATCATAAACATTGCAAAAGTACTTATCCAAAAATATTGAAGGTGTGGATTGTTACTAAAAAAAAAAATAAAATTGTTATTTTTCGTTTCGTTTTTGTTTAAAAAGCTCTTAAATTATCGGAACCCTTAAAATTTTTAATTCTAAGATTTCTTTTTGATTTATTTAATATTTGATAGCAATGCAGCAAAATATTTTCAACGTCGTTTTATTTAAATTTTATATTTTAAAATCAAGGTTAGTTTGTGCTACGTAAAATCAAGAATTCTGTTCATTGACAGTTTCTAATACTATTTCGAACTGAAGTTTTCCACATTCTGGCATATGGAGGTGATTATAAAAGTTATACAATAACGTATACCATTGGTTAGAGTTGAAAAAACTTTTGTGCCGGAATAGGGGCGAAATCTCAAGGGTTTCCGAGATAAAGGGATTTTAACGAATTTTCGCGAAATTTCTACTTATGCAAGCTTTTTTGGTTATAACCTCTATTCTGAAAAAGATAGGAACTTCAAACAAACAGTTTCTAGAAGGCCTACTAACGGGCTTAAAGAAGGCCATGCTGCTTAATTCTGTATTTTATATACCTTTGAAATACTAAGCATTCGAACTTTAGGGAAAACCAAATTTTTCCCTTGTTTTATTTTTTCAGTTTTTTCTAACTAGATAATTTCGTAAAAAATTTTTAAAACCTTGAAAATTTTTTTAATAGAATTTTGTCCAACTGCTTAAGCTTTTATTTAAGGCTTCAAAAATTAAAAAATTTTTTATGTTACAGATGTATTATTTTTTTACCCGTACGAACGTATGGCGCCTTTCACCTACACGTAATATTTATAAGACAAATTATTCAAGTTCATAAGGTACAGTATTCACCTTTAATTTCATATTCACTAATTAAATTATGTACAACACTTTCCAATGCTATTTTCACAATATAACTTTTATGAGATTATTATCACAATTATGATAATCTCATAAAAACCCTCTTTACAAATTCCCTTTAATTCAATTTTAATTTCAATTTACATTTTCACATACCTATAATTCAAATAAATTTATTTAGTTTAATTTAAATACTAAAACATTTCAAATTATTATATAAGAGTTACAATTATACATACACGTACTAGTGAACTTATAAAATTATTTTCCAATTAAATCCAATTAAAATATTTTAAATTACTTAAAGAGATTCTTAAAAATGTATAAAAAAATTAATAAATTTTTATTTTATTATCATTTTTCCTTAAATTTCCTATGAGTGAATTTAATTCGATCTATATTCGATATAATAGTGTTAAAGAGTTAGTATTGGAAAAAAAACCCATAAATTTCTATGAACTTGCACATAAATGTATGTATTATATACATATGTATGTATATACGTAGTTTAAACATACAATGCATTTATGCATTTTATATGTATACACTTGTATTAAAATAATAGGAAAATAAAGCAACAGTTTTATTCAATAAGAATGTATATACACTACATTTACTATGTTCACTTTCTATGATGCTGGAAATCCCTTATTCATTATATTGGATCGTAAATGGAAAAAGAAATAAAGCACTAAAAAAATTGCAAGTTAGTAATTTTAGTCAGTAGTTTCCATTATGTATATAGTTTTCCTACACGACATTTTCTTTTAACTACAATTTGATATTATTTTATAAAATGTGTAGGAACTAAAAAAATTAGTTTATATAGGGAAGGAACACTCTTATGCTCATTAAAACTAACATTTCGAATAAATTTCTTTCTATGATTTTTAAGGAACTTCGAACCTTTACTCAGTTCTTCCTATGAAATTAATTGATAATTTTCCGAATCTTTAATTTTCAAAAATTTTTGAAATTAGGAAAAAATTCAATTTAATTCATAAAAGGCAATTTATTTGTATTGCACAATATACACATTTTTCTAGAGAGCTAAATCATTTTGAATAAAGTTGAAGAAGAAAACCATAGCTTTGATAAAGTACGTTTATTGCGCATGATTTAGTAAATATAATAGCAAAACCGAAATATTTTAAGCAAAGATAAAGCGCGTATTTTACGAAATAAAAGAAATGTTTCCTTAATTTTAAAACTTTTTTGTGAATTCTATAGTTTTCTCATACACTTTTTAGATATTAGTCAGCATTCACATATCAAACATTGTTTATGAATTTTGTTTAATTAAAATTCCATCGAAGTTTTATGTGTAATTTTCATTCGTGAATTTTGTTTGACGGAAGAAAAATAAGCACCAATCAATTCTCTTCAAATAAAATCCATGAAATTTAGTACAGAATAACGAAAAATCGGAAAGTTTTAATTATGAGCGGCTAGAACCTAGAACCTTTATATTCCAGATTCCTATAAATACAAGTTAGTTGACAACAGTCAAAAACTTATTCGCATACAATTTTTATGTTCTCACATAGGTTGAAATTCGCTTAACAATGACAGACAATAAAAGCATATTGAGGTGCATAAGTACATTTTATTTTCTAAATATTTTAAAAATATACTTAATGGCACTTTATGAGAATATATTTTTAATAGTTTCATACATACATACGTATACGTTATATCTATGAGTATATTATTTTATAAGTGTAAAACAAATATGTACATACACACATAACACATGTCCAAGCAAATATTCTGAATACTTATATAATTTAATTGTATGAGTATAATTATATAAATATACATATGTGCATATGTTTGTATATGGTCAATTGTATTTTTATAAAATATATTTGATTTTATAGCCATATTAAATAAAAAAAAAATCTCTGAAAGGATATTACTAAATCTTTATTGAAAGATTACATCGTTACCGGAAAATCGTTATGATTTAACAATGTTTAAAAGCCAAGAAATACAAGTATTGTATTTTTATATTGTTATTTTGTAAGACACACATAATAATAAAAATACTTAGTTATATTATATCCAATATTAAATTTATTACAATATTTTGCTAACATAAACGTAAAAAAAATATAAATAACGTATGTATATTCACACATTCATCTTCAAGTACATAATAGTTTCTTTTTTAAAGGAAATTTATATTATATAAATTTTATCTTATGAGGTGTAGTTCAATCGATGCAGATACAATGAATGTATCAGTGACGAGTTTTAATGGTTCCAAGTGGTGTTATTCAGTTACAATTGAAAACTACATGACAAATTTTAATAAATTTCTTTTGTAGTTTAGCTATAATAATAAATAATATTCTGCTAATTTTATTTATTTAATCTTATAAAATTCAAATAGCATAGCACCGTTGTAGATATTAGAATTTATTTGAGGCTCAATACCAGACTTTGAAAAATTAAAAAATTGAAATATATTACTCGTCTCTGATATACAATATACATAGAAAAATGTAAATTAAGTAGAGGCTTACTTTATGCAACTCAAATTCCCGAGAAAAGTTTGTCAATTATTTGCGGTAGCAAACAGAACTCAAATATTAAATTTAAAGAAATTCCGTCAATTAGTTCCATAGAATATATGATATAAAACGTAAATTCGGCTCCTGATTTTGTTTCCAAGCCCTGATATTCCCAAAAAATTTATAAGTTCATTATTTTAACACCCAAATTTTTTAAATTTACACGTTAAGTTTCAAAGAAATTGGTTGATTATTTTTATTTGTTTGCCCAAAAATACTATTAGACGCACTATAAAACGAAACTTATATAGAAAATTTGAAGAAAATCTGGTACTACATTTTCTTAAAAATGCCCAAAAATGTGAAATCGGCCTGTAGTAAAGACCCAGTTCTCAAAACCTGACATATCAGAAAACTAGATCAAGCCGTGACTTGGTTATGTCATATATAAAATTTCATTCAAATCGGTTCAGCAGAAATTGCAATTCTAATCTGCACTGACAGACCTACAGATCTATCTTAAAATAGCTTATTTACGTTTCCCTACCACGGAAAAATGCATTTCTACCAAAAACACGACATATGAAATTTTGTGGCAGCACACCACCTTCCTTATTGTGTCCGTAAAAAATTGGTTTCGAAAGTTAAATTTAACTACGGCAAAATAAGTGTGTCTTAAAAATATTTGGTATCCTTTTATTCTGCAATCATTATATTGAAATACTTATTTTATTATTATCTTATCTATACAAAATATACAAGAGTATATTAAATTATTTTTTCATAATGAGTTCATCCTCGAAACTTATTACGTGGTCAATCGCCTTTGATGCCTGTATATACAACAATGTATGTACACTAATATAAAATTTATTAAGTGTTTTATTAGTGTCTAATAAATTTCATTTCGGTTTCATATAATTATATAAATCCATAAATTGCAAATAAAAAAAATAATAATAATAATAAATAAATTAAAATCTTTGAGACTATTAAATTTAATTATC